ATTAAAGAGGTGTTAGCAAACCCTGCACAATCTGACCAAGTCACAAGATCGTTTCTAATCAAAATTTGATAATCATTTGAAAATGGAGTCAGATTAATCGTGGAGCTAAAGTAAAAGTGGAACTAAATTCGAATAAATTAAGTGTACTTTACTGAGGTGCTGAAAAGACACACATTACACCGTTGGATTCGTTGGGCCGACGGGTGGTCCTTGATGCATTTAAGAAAGTATTCAACTACACATTTTAAAGAATTTCACTTTCATTGTGTGTAATTTGATATATTTGTGTGGTAAATCAGCTCTAAGATTATCAGCATGTTATTTGCCTCATTATGGATGAGTTTAATTCCAACACCATTATGTTTGTAGCAGTGATGTGCGGTGGTGGTTTAAAATGAGGCGTCTCTCATTTTTAAAAAAATATACTGTATATCAAATTTAAATGCATTTCCGTTACACTTAATGTTCCTTGTTAAATAAACATTACATAAATTCCAAAATAATAACTAAAGACAGTAACAATGTAAACAATGTATGCTATTTGTGAATTAATGTTCAGCTTTTCTTTTTAATAATCAACTTATATTTCAGCAGTCATCTTATACACACTGGTCAAAGACACAAATATGTACCGTTAATTTCCCCAAGCTGATTGCTCACTAAAACAAAGCCAGTCATCAAGTTTTTAGACCATGTCAAGTTTGATTTTGACATAACATAAATGTGGTGAAACAATGCAAGTTGTTTACTTACTTTTTAATTAGTCTTACCATTAACGCCATAATTTTCTTCATTCGGGCCGATGAGAACGTGCACAAAACAAGTGGTGGGGTTTCAAATCATATCAGTGCGCCACGGAGACATTGCCTCCTCTAATGTGACTTTCCCCCATTCATACTCAATTACCCCCACTAAACCCACCGCACACATTGGGCTGTCTGTTTTAAGTCAATGGGGACAAAGGAGGTGCACTAGTATCTTCACCTACGGATGTTGCTATAACTACATAAAAACGAGCGACTTTTACACTGTTCTAATGTTAAATTTTGTAATATTTGTGCCGTTTTAATTTCTGTAATTTTGATTATTTTGTCTTCCAGTTTTTTGAGGAGACACTGTCTCCCTTGACTCTCCAGAGGAAACACCCCTGGTTTATAGGCCTTTTCCTGAAGAGCCAGATTTGTGTTTTTTGGACCGGTCTGAGCTCCGAACAGACTGAGCTTCATCCTGCTCCTGTGTTCCTCCTGTTAACAAACAAAACTATAAGCTGCATGTTTCTACCAATGCTCTATCATTTCATTCAGAAGTCTGAATCTCTTAACACGCGTGTGCATTTTTAATAGTAATACATATAGTAAGAGCTAAAAACTTAAATAATATAAATCAATTCAATTTAAATGTTCTATCAGATAAATGCATATGTATGAACACACTGAGTTCATGATGTAAGTGCTGAAAAGTGTTACCTAGTGCTGTTTTCAAAGATTAAAAGAAAAAAAAAAGTAATTTTTTTGTGCTTGTAATCTTTTGAAAGGTATATTTTAGATTTTGCTATACAGACATCACATCATCAGACAGGGTTAAGTATTCTGATAAAGACAGTAATATAGTGAGGCTCTTCATGATTTCTCACCTGGTGATGACAGGGCAGTTCCTGTTGATTTCACTGTCTCCTTAGATTTAGATGTAAACCATCCACCTAAAGTGCTCATCCAGCCTTCCTTGTCTAGGCTGAAATGAGGAATCAGAAAAGAAAATGATCAGTGATGGGTGAAACAAGTTGCAAATGATACTAAATGAATGAATGACTACATGCCTTAAGTTAGTAATTTGCATAAAAACACTCCCAAATGATCTTCACTCTCAGCTAATGTATCATGCTCACTAAAGGCGTGCTCACATTTTTTTCATACGTTTACAATAAAATTAAGGAATTTATAAAACACGATTTGTTTATGAACATTTGCAAGAAGATTTACACTATGCACAAACTAGGTTAGTAAATGAGAATATTTGTTAAAAAACAATGCATTTTATACATGATTTATGTTGATATGAGTTCTAGCGAGTCAGTGTAAAGGCAGAAATGCTGAAGAGTGTTGTGAAAAGGAGGAAAATACCCTTTTTTTATTAAACATTTTGATTCCAGGCTTTTTGTAGTTGACTCAGACTCCCAACTCCCACCGCATGAGCCGAAGGAATAGAGTCCTCGACTCCATATTTAACTATATTTAATCTATATCGACTCCATTTACTTTACATCACAACAGGGTCAGGATTAATACAAGATTGCATTTGTTAAACACTTAATTGATTTATTTTCCCTCAACACTAAGCCTTAGTGTTCCCTTGTGTGTTCAACCGCACACTTTTGATTAAATGCTATGAACATTGCCAGCTTTTGTGAAACCTAATTTTACAGAGGGAAAAGTCACGAAAAACAGCTGTGATTGAATATAAATAAACAAGAAAGAAGGTATTCTAGTTTAATGAATCTTCTTATAATAGTCGGGTGATGGCGCTAAACACGCATGATCATTGGCCAGGAGAGGTAAAGATATTAAAAATGAATTCAATACATACAAAAATACTTACAATAATGTACACTTATGTGCTTATTCTTGGTGATATTTTTTATGATTAATGGTTATTTTAATGATTATGAACACAAATCTATATTTTTTGCGTTCATATAACATCAATTAAACTAACTATTACATGGAAGTATGTTTAAACTCAAGTACTATTGGCTTTTCTATGTCTAAAATATAAATATAAGCTATATGTCACTCCTTGCTTATACAGAGCACTCAACTGTCATCCACTATACAGGGATCAGAGAATCGGTTAACAAGTGAGTGATTTCAGATAGCCTAACAATAATCGATTCCTTTACTGGAGTCGACCCCATTTGTACTGACTTTATATGAAATTGTAATACAGCTGTGGTTGTGCAGTTTCAGATTCAGAGGGGAAAAGCTCTATTTTAGACATGTACTCACCTCAGTTTACAGTTTGAGTCTTTTATCATGTCATTGAGCTGCTTCCCTGAGTCATCTATCTTATTGTTCGTCAGATCAAGCTCTTTTAAAAACTGCAGTGCTTGTGTTTCAGACAAAGACTGAGTTAAAGCAGAAACATCTGTAATGCCACAGTCCTTTAGGCTAGACAGAGACAAACAGACAGAAGAAGAGAGATCATCTTACTTTGACCAGATCACAAACATCTGAGATATTCAGTAGGGATGCACTGAAATGGTTATTGAGGGTCTAAATGAGTGACTGAAACAGACGTTTAATTAGCACTTCTCCAATGCCACGCTTTGTGTTCAGCGTATATTTCATGCACACAATGTGGATAAGATACAACAGTTCAACATGTCAGCTCTCGCTCTGGATTGATAATGTTCTTTTTTTTTTTTTTTTTTCATTTTAATCAGTAATGATATGGTTTCCTAGATCTAAAATCTTTGAGTCTGTGCTGTTTAAATGCTTGAACAAAACTTTTGTATTTAACTTGTTTGTATTTGTGGCATGCCTACCATCCAATAAAGGCAAAAAGCTTTGTTACATTTACTACGAAGAAAAGTCTCAACTTTAAAATACTGTCGATTTTATTACAAAATTCCAAAATTAAATGATGTCACTCATTAATGCACCATGACGGATCGCTGTAGAGCCTCAGTTCAAGCGGAGATCAAGAGCACATAACTGGTCATATTCTCTTTACCATTAGTTACAGCACAAAATAAACATGGGTGAACACCAGAAGATATGTTGAATGATACATTACAACTTTATTCAAATTAATCCTGTCTCATGTAATCCTTCAGTGTTTCAACCCGGGTAAAGACGTCACTAAAACAGCTTGGCTAGACTAAACATTTAATGTTACTTTTACCTTAAGAAAGCTGTTTAATGTCCATAAACTCATAAACTTAAAGAACTCTAGAGAAGATTTATTTTTACTTAAACTATATAATGAAGACATCATAAAAACAGGTTATGTTTGAATAAATATGTCATTAAAACAAGTTATTACCATTAATTGTTGTTTAAATGTTAATATTTCACTAACAAACTGGAGCAGAAACTATTCTGTTATTAAAAAGTTGATTTAAAACTCGCCTTAGGTGCAATTTAAACATTTGTACAACTCAGATTTACCTTGTTTATACAACTCAATTTTATATATTTGAGTGTTGGTTATTAATAAAGTTTGATTAATTAATTGATTATATTTTTCTAATTTATGTCTGTTTCATTTTTGGGCTAAGAGCATCCTGAATTTTTTATTTCAGTTTTGACGCAGAATTTTCAGTTCAGTGCATAAATAATATTAAGTGTATACTACAGTTACAAGTTACAGTATACAAGTGTCTTAGTTTAAAGTGTTGTAGGTGAATATTACCCACCTCAGTCTCTCCAGTTTACAGTGTGAATCCTTCAGTATGTCACATAAGTGCTTCACTCCTTTGTTTTCTAGTTTATTTACACTGAGGTCCAGCTCTCTCAAGTGTGAAAGGTTTGAACACAAAGATGAACTCAAACTGTGACACTGTTTCTCTGTAATACTGCATCCACACAGACTGAAGACAGAAAGAGAAGACAATGAGCCAGATTCAGTAAAATGCATTTTTAAACAGACAGACAAAAGAAGTATATGTTTCATCAGATGTGTGTTAGATTAAGAGATCAAGAACAAATAATAAATGAATAATTATAATACATTAATTTGAAAAATTAAATATTTTTACATTACATTTAAAAACACTATTTTCCTAATTTAAATGTGAGAAAGTCATGAATCATGAAGTGTCATTTACAATCCTTTGTTAATTTGGTAAGTTAGCATTAAACAACCATTTTCTTAAAAATGTTATCACTGAATTATGGCATATTTCAGAGTTAAACTGTGGAACGAAAAAAAAACAAAAACGAATGCCATCTTTTGTCTTCCACCATACTTGGGACAGATTACTTGATTATTTTAGTCTGTTGTTGATTGGATGGAATAAATTAAAAAATTAAAATTGTATACTGCAATGGAGGCGTCTCTGAATGCAATTGGGCTTAATGGAAGTGATGTGAAGTGTATGGATTTAAGGTGCGTTCCATTCCACCAGAAGTGGACTGCGAAGTGGACTTCACAGGCTATTTCGCCATCTTTAGTGAGATTCCAATTAGAAGGGAACAAACATGTTCAGTTCGAAGGGCACTGTAAACGGCATAGGGAATAAGGGAACATCGATACATCACTTCACAGGAAGACAGTGAAGTCCATTTCAAATGATAAACCGTGTTCAGGGAGTAGGGAGCAGTGAACACTGTGTAGGGACCCTGTCGAATGGAACGCACCTATATTGTATAGTCATTTACGTCAAGTGAGCATATCTCAGAAAGTTTAATCAAAAGATTACAAGGGCAAATTACTTTTCGGTTAACCCACAACAAGTGCAGTAATATGCACTAAAAAAATGAACGTTTTGTATTACATTTTTTCCAACTTTAAACTAAATACTGAATAACACTGTATCTGCTGTAAAGTATATTGTAACTTACTCTAGTTTCTCCAGCTTGCATGACTTTATCATCAGTAGATCACTGAGGTTATTCACTCCAGAGTCTCCTAGTTTATTCTCACTCAGGTTCAGCTCTCTCAGGTGTGATGGGTTTAGTTTCAGAGCTGAAGTCACAGCAGAACAACCTTCATCTGTCATTTCACAGCCTCTTAACCTATATTGAGAGAAATGTGACATTCAGATATTGACACTATTTTCCCCAGGCTTTGGTTTAAACTATATAAATGATCTGTTTAATCATTTTTAACATAGACTTTAAGCCTATTAATGTTCCTCACCTTAATCTCTCCAGTTTACAGTGTGAATCCTTCAGTATGTCACATAAGTGCTTCACTCCTGTGTTTCTAATTTTATTTCCACTGAGGTCCAGCTCTCTCAGGTGTGATGGGTTTGATTTCAGAGCTGGAGTCAGGATCAGACACTGTTTCTCTGTAATACTGCATCCACGCAGACTGAAGACAAAAAAGGCTGCATTTACACTGTGAGTCTTAATGCACAGATCCAATCATTTGACCATATCTGTTTTTTTGGCCACCTGTTTACATTCACTTCAGACAGGACTGGACTCCAATATCTGTGTTTACATTAATTAAATGCAAATGAATGTGTCGTACCAGAGACAAATCTGTGTCGTACTTTATTCATGTTATTATCCTTTTAATATTACTTCCTATAATAGTAATACACACATTAGATTTTTAAAATACTTTTTTACAATGTAAAACCAACTTGATAACTAATCAATTTCATTACGATCATAAATATAAATACATTTCAGTACAAGTGAAATAATTTGTGTAGCTTGACGTCACTAGTTTCCACACTAGTTTAGCTTTGGGTAAAAGCTTGATTCATTTTAATACATTTTATTGTGGCTCGGTGAAAGGGAATAAGACTCCCTCAGAGAAAATGTATGCCTTAGTATGGTCAACTATATTTAAACCATGTGAAATACTCACTTCAGTGTGTTGAGTTGACAGTGTTTATCCTTTAGTAGAGCAGCGATCTGATTCACTCCTGTGTCTCCAAGTTTACGTTTACTCAGATTCAGCTCTCTCATGAGTAATGGGTTTTTACCCACAATTCCTCTCACATACTGACAGGCTTCATCTGCAGCATGACCCAAAAACCTGCAGAGGGGAAGATAAAGAATGATTTGATTCAGTTACAACACATTTATGGTATAATGGAAACTATAAAACAATTTATTAAAACCTCTTGAAATCCTTAAACAAATTTAGAAATATCTTATTGAATATATTTAATATATATATGCCACCATATAATTTGTGTTCTTTCATCACACCTCACCTCAATGTTTTCAGTGAATTGTATCGATCCTGTTGTAAATCATCGAGCTCCTTCACTCCTGATTCTCCTGGATCATTTCCTGTGAGATCCAGCTCTATCAGGTGTGAAGGGTTTGATCTCAGAGCTGAAGCCAGAGCTATATAACCTTCTTCTGTGATACTGCAGTCTGAGAGTCTACAGAAGAGAGAATTGAATTACAAAATACAAAATACTTAAAAACAACAAATGCCTCCCTAAAACAAAAAACAAAACAAAAGAATATTGTATTTTAAAATACATTTCATACTGAGAATAAATAACACTTAATAATAATAATAATAATAATTAACAGTAGTAATTCATAATAATAATAATCTTTACAAGCCAATATTGGTTAGTGAGGCACATACAATGTAAGTGGATGGGATACAATATTGAAGGCCATAGGGTCAGCCCTCAAACACTGAACTGGACTAGATCCAAAGAGCACATTGTGAACACAAGAGGTCTGAGACCACATTCCTACTTCAGTGGAGCAAAAAAAACGATCAGAGTCCTCTTTCAGGGACAGGCACAGTGTGAACGCAAACAGAAGTGATGCTTTTCACTTGGTTCACCTCTTGGTCTACTTAAAGGAGTCTGGGTTTGGTTCTTTTAAAGAGGACTCAGGTGTGAAAACACCCTCAGTATACTACAAACCTATTAACATATTTACTGAAATATTGCATGAGACTTACTGATTACTGAATATTACAATAGGCTTTATGCCGAGCGTCACGTGACCAAACCGGAAAACAGGTCTCATCGCATCCGCTTGTCAGAGAAAGTGTTAACGGCCGTAAGAACTGACTACGATATCTATGGATTTTTAAGGTAATCCGCTAACCTACCTAGTTCACTTTGTTATTGGCGTTTTATTCCATTTAAATATCTAAACGTTACTGTGAAGAAGAAAAAATATAAAACGTTTAAATATCAATCTACACATGTGAGGGACATTGGTTATGCTAATCTTTGCTCGCTCCTTTTAAGTTATCTTGAGTAAAACCGCAAAAAAATTCATGAAGCACGTACCAAAACCTGGACCGGAAGCGATGTGACCTGTTTTACAGAATACGGAAGTAAGTTGTGCATAGAGCCTATTAAAATTTATCCAGAGTACTACTTTATTGCACAATTCACATTTCTTAATATGAAGCCTAAAATGTGTTTTAATATCACTATTAGTGCGGATAGTATGATCATCAATGTATAACATCAGTCTTTAAATGCAAGACATTCAAAGTGTATATCTTTTCTTTAGTTTACTAATAATATAATATTTAAACTTTGACCAGAAGATAATTTTATTACTAAAAATAAACAGTGGTTCATTTAAATCACCTGAGTTTCTCCAGTGTGCAGTTTATATTCTCTAATGCGATCTGGAGTTTCTTCACTCCTGAATCCTGCAGATTATTGTTGCTCATATCAAGCTCTTTCAGACTGGAGTTTGATCTCAGGACTGTAGCGAGATTTGAACAACTTTCCTTTGTTAGATCACAATTACGCAGCCTAAAATGATGAAGAGGAGAGAGAGAATTTACAAACACAAATACTTGATGCCAATATTCAGTGATTACTGAATATTACAATGAAACTTTATCAAGAGTACTTCTTTATTGCACAATTCACATTTCGTAATATGAAGCCTAAAATGTGTTTTAATATCACTATTAGTAAGGATATTATAATCACTGTATAACATCAGTCTAGAAATGCAAGATATTCAGAGTCCATGTCTTCTTTAGTTTACTAATAATAAAATATTTAAACTTTGACCAGAAGATAATTTCATTATTAAAAATAAACAGTGGTTCATTTAAATCACCTGATTTTCTCCAGTCGACAGTTTGTATTTTTTAATGCGTCTTCGAGTTTCTTCACTCCTGAATCCTGCAGATTATCATTGTTGCTCATGTCGAGCTCTTTCAGACTGGAGTTTGATCTCAGGACTGTAGCGAGAGCTGAACAGCTTTCCTCTGTTAGATCACAATTACGCAGCCTAAAATGATGAACAGTTAGGAGAATTTACAAACACAAAGTACTTGATGCCAATATTCAGTGATTACTGAGGATAATTGTGATATGGTCACCTGATTTCTGTACGATAATTTAAATACACAATAATAAAAGAACACAATACTCACATCAGTGTGTTTAGTTTGCAGTGTTTATCTTGCAGCAAAGGAACAAGATTCTTCAAATTTGAGTCTTCTAGTTTACGATCACTCAGATTCAACTCTCTCAGGAGTAACGGGTTTTCACCCACAATTCCTCTCACATACTGACAGGCTTTATCAGCAGCAGGACTCAGAAACCTGGAGAAAGATGTTCAATAAATGGCCAGTAATGTCAATGACATACAGAATCTTGTGAAATTGCCTTTTGACATTTCCAAGACACAATAAACAATTTTTTGATGGTTTGTTTCTAAACTGTTTTGAATTATTAAAACGTTTTAAAACTACTGGACTTTATTTAAAAACACTCACCATGTCTTCAGTTGACACTTTGGATACTGTAGTAAATCATAGAGCTGCTTGACTCCTGATTGTCCAGGATCATTTCCTGTGAGATCCAGCTCTATCAGGTGTGAAGGGTTTGATCTCAGAGCTGAAGCCAGAGCTTTATAACCTTCTTCTGTGATACTGCAGTTTGAAAGTCTACACACACAAACACATTTAAATAAAATTAAGATTGCGGATCCAATTTATTAATTAGCGGAATCTCTTATCAGATACATGGTAAACCACATTCTATCATTAATGTTGAAGTTAATTTTGCACTGTTCTGTTGTGTTTATTAGTATTGTATTTAGTTAATGATAACAATGTTGAATGTGAATAATGCTAAAGCTAGATCTGGTTTGTGTAGCTGATGGCGAAATGTACTCACTTCAGTATCTTCAGCTTTGATTTCTTCAGTCCCTCACAGATCAATTTGACCCCTGAGTCCAGCAGACGGCTGTTATTGAGGTTAATCTCTTTCAGGATGGTATTTTTGGAGGAGAGAACAGTAGCTAAAACTGCACAGCTTTTCTGTGTCATCTCATAATTATTCAGCCTAAAGAGGAAGACCTGATTTATTATTCTTGTTTTATAGCAAATATTCAACACACATCAGTTCAACAGGTTTTCATGTTCACACATGTGGCTGACAGTGTCTAAAAGTGCTTTTATCAGTAGCAATTCAGAAACCATTGCTGTCATGCACTGGATTGGGATAGAGATCAGGCAAAGTGAAGTGGATCTAAAAAACAGCAGTGTGTAACTTTATTTCATAAAAGAAAAGAATAATCCAATATGTGAGATGGCAATGTAACAGTGTCATGAAATGCGAAGAAAACTGAAAAAAAAATAGACATTTTAGATTTTTTTTAAAATAAATAGAACAAATCACATATACCATATGAAAACCCTCAAAATATGATATCACGGTTTCAAAGTTCAAACATTTTAAAAGAGAACAATACATCATGGTTGTTTAAACCAATGAGCATTAAGATGTGTCGTCAGCAAGTCGTTTCCTATCATTCCTTTGATCAGAGCAGTCGGAGGAGTGCAATTGTTTCTGACTGCAGAATCCGACAAGGCCATCAGACACAGGCCCACACTCAAACACATTTCCGGCTTGCATCCGTTCAATGGTTCAACCATCATTAAACAGATCTGCGCCGATTTATCTCATCTCAAACGAGCCTAATAAATGATGGAAACTGAAGGCATAATATACACTTAAACTAATGAAGGAACGGGTGTGTGTAATCAATGTGTTAGGCTTGTGCCAGTATGTCTGATGGACCCCTTGATTAAACAAAAGGCCCTCCTAATAATTAACAATTGAACTATCTCTTGCATTTGTAACAGGAACTTCTGAGATGCAGAACACATTGCAGCTCACACTTCACACACACTTCCCCTACATTCCCCTCCTCATCCTCCTCCTCACCTAAAATACACTGAAAATCTATGCAATGTTAAGTATGTACAAACTATGCGTGTATGCATGTTTAGTATTATTTGAAAAGTCTCAGCGCGACTGGTACAAATGTCTCATTTCTAAATAAGTTTTTTTAAGAGATTAGAGATAATATACAAGCGTGGATGGGTAAACCCTCCTGCTTATCAATAAGTGTTGACTCAATGCTAATTCCCACTGTTAGCAAATGGTACCATGTAAAACAAACTTCTGCCCCCAGTGAGTCTGGGAGGGTGATCACAGTGAATTTTTGATGTTTTGCATTAATTATCTTTGAACTAATGATAAATTTACCTGACATAATACATTTTTACATTTGATGATTCTAACTGACTTTGATATTTCATTAGAGTTAAAAGGAATTAGTCAAACTTCAAAATTAAACGTCATTTATATGTCTTTATATTTGCACATTGACGCATGTATCATTTCTATTTTGCACCCGCGCAAAGTGGACTTTTCCCTCCACAGACCCACATCGGTAAACTAGGAAATAAACTTGCGCTCCCTGGGCGGGTCGGCGCAAAAAGGAGGCGTGTGTCGGCGCAAACAATCCCTAGTGCTATTTTGCAGTTCCAGAAAATAATTGCGCCACTGATCAGAAAAAAAAACTAGTCCAAAGTCAGTGGCGCGTTGCGCACATTTAGATGCTATTTTAAGCGCGTATGCTTGGCTATAATACAGAGTGTGAACAACGCGCATACACTGTAGACGATTCTCTCATCAACACAGATGCATTTTACTTCTTGCAAATGATACATTATTATAAGAAAAATATTTAAACATGAAGGAAATCATTGTTGTGTCCAAGACGATGGGAAAAATAGGCATAAAGCTTACACATTTACACAAATTATTATATGCATGTTTAACCATTCATCATGCTCTTAAAGGGAAGGGAATGTGATATGATGCTCTTATTGGTTTGTTTTCCGTTACGCCCAAACCCCACCTGTGAATAATGAAGCTACTTCAGACCAACCCCTTTTAAACTTGCGTCGGGCGCGAGAGTCATTTATCCCGCCAGTAATCTAGAGTGCCGAAGTAGTTACGACGTCACTCTGTAGGCCAAAACGCGGAAGTGAGTTAGCATTTTAGCACTACGGTTCCCTCGCTCTAAAGCCTATGGGATTTTTGAATGGGTTTTTGCTAAATCGTCTGAAATAAGGTCTGTGGTGAACAGAGCCTCTAAATATTTTCACGTTTTGATCTATGACATAGAACACAGTTATAACCTGCTTGTGTTTTTTTAAACTTTATTGTGTTTTTTAAAATCTTTATATAGGCTTCAAAATGTATAAATTTTGGATTAACTTGTGAAGATTATCTTGCTAGACAAAACGTGTAAGGGTCATAACTCTTTGTTAAACACAGATCTTATTTTTTGCGATTTTCCAATAGTCTATGGGTAAAATGCATTGCTTTTCGACCGAGGGAACCCATGCGCCGCTAGCTTCCGGGTTGTCCTACAAAGTGACGTCATCACTTCGGCACTCTGTAGCAACAGCGCCCAAGACCAGCCCACAAAGTTACTTGCGCTTCACGCTTGATACTTGCGTTTCAGATTGTTTAAATAGGGCCCATTATGTTCATTTGAACGACTGTCTCGTGCACATTTCAAAGTCCCTTTAATGTTGTGATCAAAGCTACGTGCTTTACAAATTGATACTTAAAAAGGTAGTGTTATAGAACAGGACAGTTCATCCTCGAGGTCAGAGTAATAACTTCTCTTGAAAGTCTATAAAGGAGGATCATTTTGTGAGGTTGACGGAGATGAAATGATCAGGTTTGCTGGACAAGCAGATGATTAGATCATAAATTAATCCCCTTAAAGATTATCATGACAATTGACATATTAATAATTAAATATAATTCTTGTGATTGATTATTGATACAATTGTTTGTTGCATTCAATCGTTCATACAGGAAATCGGCAAATTACCCTCATGGGTAATTTTATAATTTGTAGGTGATTCCCGATCATGTTTTTCATGATTAGTTATTAAAATTATATTCCCTGCATCTCAGCTAATAGGAATATCCCAGGTTCCCTACACAGGTACTGACCAGGCTCAACCCTGCTTAGCTTTTTTTTCACACCCTTGTGAAAAAGAAGTGTGCTTACTTCTATATTGAAAGCATACTTTTTGTGTGCTTCAAATAATAAAAGTATACTTTTTCAAAAGTATTTAATTGAAGAAGCATTGCTGTGTCAACTGTGGTAAATACAGGAACATGAAGATAGCTATTTGCGGCATGGGTCCTGGGTTTGCATGGGTCATTTATCTATATTTGTGTAATTGATACATTTACATTTAATTCCCTGTAAATTAGCAATACAAATGTTATTGTCGTCATTTCATAACAAAACGTATGAAGTAACATACTGTATGATGATCCATATATTTTTGTCTAGTGTAGTGTTACTGAAGTGTTCCTTTTTTAACGATATATAGGCTGCCTGCTATATCTATCTGTTATTATTTTATGCAGCCCTATACATAGGCTATAACAATGCACAACAAACTTGGTGTTCATATATATTTAATAATATTTTTAAATTTAAAATAAATGCATTCCCAAAATCGAGCAGCTCTATAGTTTCTCTTGATATCAGCATGTTCACATGTGTTTATTTTTTACAGGGACCAGATGCCACTGATGAGTCCTGCTGACTTCAACATTCACAGGAGACTCTGTACATGAACATGTTTAAGGGAAAAATCAAACACCTTGGAAATGACAGGTATGTACTATGTTTCAGGAATGGCACAAAGTTGTGTGACTGTTCAAGCCCCTGTCTTTAGATTTGTCCTTTGTTGTGTATCTTTGGATTATGTTGTGTTGTAAATAAATCCAAACAATCAAAAAGCCATTTATTTTTAAATCTCATTCTCTGTGCAAGGCTCCTCATTATGATAGGGCCCGATAGCACCAAATAGGGCCATTAGGGGAGGGTCTTTGTCTTTCTCAGGTATGAAAACCAGTAATATTAATGAGATCACACCCCTTCGCATAAAGCTATCTTACACAAAACACGTCATACCAAATTTTAAAATATTAAAATTTTTTCTGACTTTCCTGCCTCTTTGGAACATTTCCATTCACACATCTGTAGAGCATCTGGGACATTGACATAAACAGCACTTTCCAACAACTTCAAAAATTTTTGTGACAAATGATTGTGGTTTTCTTGTTTTTGTGCCTTTGGAATCCTTCAGGTTTTTTTTTTTTTTTTTTTTTAGATTAAACTACAGTTATTTTCCTGTTAAGTTCCTCATTGATTCCAAAATACTGCTACTGAACTACAGGTCGTATCATAAATATCACCACAAACGGAGTCCACAAAAAAATTACTTTTTGGCAAAAACTCATTACCTGGCAATGTGCAAGGAATAAGATATACCTCTGTTTAAAAATTAGAGACATCTCAAAAGTGAACTATTTACTTTGCTTTTCTTACTTACATCTAATTTATTTTTTATTTATCAAATTATTATGTGTGATGGAACCATATCAGATGTCAATGTTAATTTCTGCCTAAAAAAATGTGCTAATACTTGTCATGTTGCTTTTTTTTATCTATCTCAGCATCTCTCATGCTGCCAGCTAAAACCAGCAGCCTGCACTGTCCAGACAACGAAGACAACCACTGATTCTGGGAGTGTCAGTTTTGTATAACATTACTCCAAAATTTTAAATTGATCCATAAAAAAAGTCTGTTTGAAAAGCAGTTAATGGTGGTTGTTTGGTCGTTTGGTTCATTGTTTCACCTGCAAAACTTCACATAGCCATGGTAAATCACCACACAGCGAAACAAAACAAAAAGCGAAAAGCGAAACAAAATCATGTTTACTCACTTTATTTGATCCACTTGGCAATAAGAGTCCACCAGAAATGCAGATAGTTTCTCCCAATGTTGATCTAGGGCAATTCCGCTCAGATCCAGTTCTGTCAGCTGTAAGGGATCTGTTTTCAGTACTTCAGTTAGATACTTACACGCGTCCTCTGCAGCAGCATTATTCAAAAAGCTACAGAATGTAGAAAAAAATATAGATTAGAAAATGTTCTCATAATTTTGTGCATTTTACATCAGCCATCCTCTTTATGTGTGCAGAGCAGTATTAAAAGATAGTAAAGTGTGTAGTATCTGGTTGAAGCCTGGAGTTATGTTTAAGTTAACACCCTTTAGTGAAGATTTATTATAAATAATAAACAGGAAATAAATAATAATGTCAAAATTAAGTAGTAATTTATGTTTTTACATAGTTCTACAACTTAGTTCTAGTTCAAAATGTGTCACACAGTACTGAACAAATCTTGTGTTGAAAATCTTTGAATTGCAATTCAGCAAATTCCACTTTACAATTCTATACCATCCTCAGATGTCTTTTTAGCACTCTAAAATATTCTTAACAGTCCTGACTATTCACTTTGGGCCACTGTGTTCCAGTCCCATGTCCTAGGTCTGTGATCATTTTTAGACATGACCAGACACCGACGGGCCTTAATCGTACCGAAAGCACCTTCGCCTGCAGGAAAGGCACTTCATAAATGTGGAAGGCGAAGACCAGCCGGCCGCATCACAAATATCTTGAATGGGAAAGCCAGATGACCAAGCCCATGATGAAGCCATGCCTCTTGATACCTATCGGGCAAACCTGACCCACAGAAATGGCAATGGCATCCAATATCCATCTAGACAAGGGGTCGGGAACCGTTTTTGACCTAAGAGCCATTTTTTCATTTTTGGTTAATGCATTTTTCCAAAAGAGCCACAGTAAAAGAAATATATAATATTATTATTATTAAAGACCACGTCCAATAGCTCCTAGAGGCAGGAGAGTACCACAGATACCACACATGACTCTTGGTCAGAACGATTCTTCGAGCATAAGCTGGAAGAACCCGACCACTTCAAAGCATAAAGGTGCCAGTAGACAGGGCCCTGGCTTCAGATATAGTGCTTAAGACCATACATGGAGGGCCCATAAGTCAGGTCGGGAATGCCATATTGTTCCGTTGGCCTGTTTGAGGAGGTCTTTCCTCATTGGAACAGGCCAAGGGATTGTGTCCGATAACTGGTGATCGGGAACCCCAATAGCACTATGCTGCGGAGGGACACCAGACGTCTCGTTGTTCTCCTTTCTGTCGAGGAGCTCCCTGATCAGGTTTGCCTTAAAGTTCGGCGACCTTTCCGTGGTTACACGCAATGCTCGAGTGGGAGGTATTACGGCAAAGCGCCCGCTGTCATGCCTCTCGTTACATGAAAATAGGCCAGGTGAAGATGGTCTCGAACAGCGTGGCGCACGTCTTGGGCTTTGATATGGTGCTCGCACTGCTCGTTTCATTGTGTACTGTGGGTAGTGTGGACAACGTGGAAACGTTGGGTCAAAGACTTCTTAACTGCACGGGATCGCTTTGCACCCGAAGAGACTGCCAGTAAGGGGAAATGTCTATGCGTTGCGAAATCTATGGACTAACACCTGTGTGTGTTGGCTTCATGTAAATGCGCATTTGATGATGGACTTGGTTTTCTGAGTTGTTTATGGTTGTTATTGTTATTTGTGATTAAGTTAGTGTTTAAATTCTGAGTCTAAACGTGCAGTAGTGTTAACAGTCATTTTACAAATGTCTATTAAGAAATAATTCATACAGTCAATCTGCTAAAATTAATTTTCTGTCTAAAATTCACTGTCTTAAAAATGTGTAATTAATTAATTTGTTAAAATATTTATTAGTTAAATTCCCTTATACTGAAAATACAAGTCTTGTGATAAAAGCTCATTCTTTTAAAACGTATTTGCTATGTTGTAAAATAGTATTAGTAAAAAGAAATGGTATTATGCTAATGCTTACCAAATGAAACCCGTATGAACTGTCATGTACATCATGAGATTCTGGTGATTACATTTATGTGCATTGCTGTTTACTTGAGGTTTGTTGTGAATGTTTACACTGGTTTGTTGTGTGGTTTTAAAGGTTTTTCACCGACTGAAATACTTCTGAGAGGTGGCAACTTAAGTCTCATTCTTGTGAGTGGAATCCAGTGTTCAATTCAGAAGTAAGGATGCCCTTTCAAGTGTGGGACATGTGCAGCTTAAAACACTTGAAAATGACTGTGTCTCATTTTCAAATATTTTAACACCTGATGTTATGCTTTTATCACCTGATGTTCTTTAATTTGGACCATCCTCTCTGCATCATATCAGTTATCATCTTTACTCCTGATCGTCCAGGATAATTTCCTCTCAGGTCCAGGTCTTTCAGGTGTGAGTTTGATTTCAGAGAGGAAGTCAAAATCTCATAACTTTTTTCTGTGATACTGCAGTCTGAAAGTCTGTATGAAAAGAGGCTTTTATTAGGTATTTCATGTTATAGGATATGAAACTTTTTTTGTTTTGCTATATAATGTGGCAAAATGTGTAATTTTGCACAACGTTTTACCCCAGAGATATACAACAATTGCCTTAACATCTGCTTAATTTGAATTTCTTAATATGTCTTACAATATTAAATATTGCATAATGCAAGTAGCCTTTAAAGCCTTTTCAGTTAATCTAATCAAATGGACATTCACAAATCAATCTATATTATAAAGAAATAGATCAATTTAAATACAAACTTCAGTTTCTCTAATCTGCATTGTGGATTTTCCAACAAGCAACAGATATTTTTAATTCCAGAGTCTCCTAGTTCATTTCCACTCAGATCCAGCTTTGTCAGGTTTGAAGGGTTTGAGTTAAACGCTGAAGTCAGAACAGCACAACCTTCTGCTGTAATACTGTTATTATTCAGCCTGAAGAGAAAGAAAACAAGGACAGAAAAGATTGTAAACCTTAAATGTTCTTAACTGGCTTAACTGTTCTGCTTATATTATCATCATTTGTTTCAGAGTCTGTGCCAGAACCCACAAAGTAGGTGGATTTGGAATTAAGTTAAGGTCATTGAGCGGTGAAATTGTTGCACGGCTGCCACAAAGCGTTTTTTTATAGTTGAGGTGGTGCTCATGTTATGGTTTTGGGGATGTATCCATAGTCACAATCAACAACGTCATTGCACCTCATTGTCACTTCAAATTAGTACTTATAAATAAATTAACAAAATCTAGTTCATATATTACTTAAAGGCAGGGTAGGCAATTTGTTCCAAAGCAAAAGACCTAGTTTTTAGGGATAGTTCAAACAAAAATTAAAATTGTCATCAATTATTCGGTCTCAGATTGTTTAAAAATCTTTATTAACTTCTTGTGCTAAAAACAAAAGAATATATTTTGAAGAATATGGGTAACCAAAGAGTTTCTGGTGCCCATTGACTTCCATAGTATGTTTTCTCTATCTTTTCAATGCAATGGAAATATGAAAACCTTGTAAAATACTCACTGAATTATTTTCAGTTTACAGTGTTTATCCTGCAGTAGAGCAGCAAGCTGCCTAACTCTATTAAATTCTAGTTCACGGTTAATCAGATTCAGCTCTTCCAGGAGTAACGGGTTTTTACCCATAACTCTTCTCACATACTGACAGGCTTCCTCTGCAGCAGGACACAAAAACCTGCAGAAGAAAAGATGAAGCAGGATTCAGTTCAGTTATCAAAGTTTGTTAATTTGTTACATTTATTTAGCACTTTGCACTCAGCACACAAAGTGCTTTACATAGAAGTGAGGAATCTCAACAACCACCACTAATTTGCAGCATCCACCTGGATGATGCGACGGTAGCCATTTTGTGTCAGAACACCATCACACACCAGCTTACTGGTGGAGAAGAGACAGTGATGAAGCCAATCAGTATATGGGGATGATTGGGAGGCCATGATGAACAGAGGAAAATATGCAAATTTGGCCAGGTAACTCCGGTGAAACCCCTAGTCTTTTTTTTTTTCAAAGGACATCCTGGGATTTGAACTCAGATAGTCAGGACCTTGGTTTAATGTCTCATCCGAAGGACGGTGCTTGTTACAGTATGGTGTCCCCATCACTAAACTGAGGCATTAGGACCCACACAGACCACAGAGTGAGCACCCCCTGCTGGTCTCACTAACACCTCATCCAGCAGCTACCTAATTTCTCATGAGGTCTCCCATCCATGTACTGACCCTGCTTAACTTCATTGAGTTTATCTTGAATATACCTTTAATGCAATGCATTTTTATAATTTTATTAATTTCACCTTAGTTTTAGTTGACACTTTAGGTCCTGCACTAAATCACAGAGCTGCTTGACTCCTAATTGTCCAGGATCATTTCCTGTGAGATCCAGCTCTATCAGGTGTGAAGGGTTTGATCTCAGAGCTGAAGCCAGAGCTTTATAACCTTCTTCTGTGATACTGCAGTCTGAGAGTCTGTAAAAGAGAGATACAAAAAATGATAACTGAATATGGAGACAAAAGACCAAGAGACATTTAATATGTTAGTTTATCCACTCACCTGAGTTTCTTTAGTTTACAGTCCTTTTTTAGTCCATCAGAAAGCAGCTTTGCTCCTGAATCCTGCAGATTATTATTG